ATGACCTGGAAGCTGTCTGCAGACAAACGCTGGCTCCCTCGGCCTATAGAGTGAGATGAGCGCACAACCCCAGAGTCGGTCACGACTGGACCTAATGGTCAGGGGTACCTTTACCTTTACAGTCATACCTCAGGTTGAAGTAGCTTCGGGATAAGTATTTTCGGGTTGTGTGCTGCGGCGACCCAGAAGTAATAGAGTGCGTTACTTCCAGGTTTTGCCGCTCGGACATGCGCAGATGGTCAAAATGATGTCATGCGCAAAAGCGGTGAATTGCCACCCACGCGGACGCGGGTTGCGTTCGCTTCTGGATGCGAACGGGGCTCCGGAACGGATCCTGTTCGCATCCAGAGGTACCACTGTATTTTTTGTATTGTAGTCGCTCAGTGTGCTGATTGTAGATATGGGTGCTCCTGAAGAACAATCATGTGAGGTCCGAAACATTCTCTAAATGGTGTCCCTTGGCTTAGATCTCCCAGAGCGACCTTGAATGTAATATGCATGGCCTGTGCCATTTTAGAGGTGATTCCTGCTGCCTCTGCCACAAGTAGGAAAAGGTCTGCCAGGTTCAAGAGATGGTTGAGGGCTGGCAGCAGCAGTCTTTTAGTTAGGTCAGCATGAAGCCTGAAAAAACTGGCCTAACCCTTCCACTGTTCAGCGAAGGATGAGCAACCCTGTATTTTCCATTTACTCTCTTTATCACATCATAGCATTGCCTGGAAGGATATTAATCGAGCTTTGATTGTTCAATTATTGTTAGGGTTTTTTCCTCTACTTTTCTGTGTGTGTGCATTTTTTTAAAAGTCATTGTAATAAGTTAACATTTACGGTTCTCCTTCACAGATCCAGAGAGCAGGCAAGGGGTGGGGGTGGGGTGGGTGGGAAAGGCACTCTCAATAATTTATTTTAAAATCAATGCTAATGAGGTTGTGTCTCGTCATTGGCCTGAGTTTTACAATCAAGCCTGATTTATTTAGAAAAGATCTTTGGTGCCACTTTCCCATCTAACGGTGGGGGTGGAACAGGGCAGGGAGAGCTGTTTCTGTGACCCTCCAACTTCAGATCCAATTCTAAATTCACAGAGGGATGAACTGACCAGGTTTGCATTGATTTGAATGGAAAGTAAGAGACAGCTGTGCCCTAGACAAAGTGGTGGTAGGGAGAAGCTTGGCTTCCAGAAAGTGCAGCATGGCAGGTTGTCCGGCACACTTTGCACTAATTCTATGATATTGGCAAAAGATCTGTTTCTGAGTCTGACCAGCTTTGCATCTGACCTTCTGTCAGCTATCTTGTTTTGTTTACTGAAAACTAGAGCACTGTGCCCCAGAGGCGCTGGATTTTATACTACAACCAGAATTGTCTTCCGGGTTTAAATTTCCTTATGTTAAACAAACAAATAAATGAGAACCAGAATTCGGCCTCCCAAGTGTTTCAGTTTTCATTTTTAGAAGCAGGCTTCCAGGCCTTGAGACTTCAAACACAGGCTGGTAACATTTTGATGGAACTGAATGGAGCTGCTCTTGGTCTTAAGTGGCTCATGAAAGTGATACCTTAATGTTGGGCATCGCACAAGTGGAATAATGTTTGTGCACAGTAACATACACACCTTCAGTTACTGCTGGGGAAGAACCATTTCTTTATGCCAACACAGCTTTTATCTTGTGAATACAGATGTCTGTTTGCTAAGTGATAAAATACCAGCTTGTCTTCCCATGTGATGGGGAAATTTTTTTGCCACACATCTGCACTTGATCAGCAATCTTGGAAAGAGGCAGCCTGATAATTCTGCTTACTGTCCTTGGTGGGATGATACAGACAACCAGCTTACCAAGTGGTTAAATTCATCCTGTGTTAAGTTATCACTTGGCAAATGATAACTATCTGTATTTGGCCTCTGTTTTCCTGTTAGTCTCTTAACCCATACTGCCTTCTGGAATGCATTCCCCCCTTGTGCTAAGTCCGTCCTTCCGCATCCACACGCATACAGCCCTCCTCCCTTTTCCTCTTCCCATGGCCTCCATCATCTCCTGACAGTGTGTTTCATTCATTGTCTTCTCTTTAGTGAGACCGGAGATACTTGTCAAAGCTAAGGAAGCTTTCCCGCTTGTGTTATGCTTATAAAGTGCCATGTAAATTTATGACGCTATAACAAGTGATTGCTATTACTGCCTTAAATAACAATTGATAGGTTTATGGGGCATATTTTAAAATACTACCTCCCTCTGCTAGCAGGTGATAACCCATTTTCCTGTTCTATATGTTAAGCTTTCGCATGTAGGTTGTTGTTCCCGAACAGCATAGGGATGAGTGCTGATTCTAACGTTGCTGTACTGACACGTTGCCACTGAAATTTTCTTCTGTATGGTCAGGGTTCCACGTGGCTGTTGAAACATCTGAAATCAGCTTCCCATGTGGCTTGCCCAAACTGCCCGATAAGTAGCCAGCTGGTATGGCACTTAGATGGGTTCTTAACCACGCCAAGCCAAGTGCAAATGCAGACAATGTCACAGTCAAATGGGGAACTCGAGTATGCAGAAGTGAGTTTTGGCAGTAGTGACACCTGAATTAGACCACTGGATCTCTTCACCCTTAACATTTGTATGTAGTGTTGGCATTAATATAATATATGTTAATATGTGGCTTTGGTAGGAGAGAGGTAGGAGAGCTGTTTTCTCCAAAACTTGCTTTAGGGTAGAAGATACTTGTGATTTCCAATGCAGTGAAGTTACGTTCAAACTACCACCACCCCACCTAAGATATTACTTCTGTTATAGCTGTAAGCCAGCCAAGGTTAGAATCAGTTTAGTGAGATAGTTGAAAAGAGATCAGAAGAGGCTTTTCAGGGGTTTGCATTATTTCAAAACCACACATAACCTGTTTGGCCAGGGATAACTGTGGGGCAAAATAAATGTGTTCACACACCATGAGAAGTGAACTTTCTTAGAGAGTATTGTCTGTCATAGTCTCTAATAAGCTCATAGCAGAAGAACGATTTGAACCAAGGACTCATCCTTTTCACAAGTCAGTCTGTTAACCATTGCCCTGCTTTAACTCTATGAAGTCATCACAGATGACTTTTTAGCATGTAAATAAGCAGCCAGTGGGCTGTGGTAGTAAACAGGAAGGATGCATATCCCATGCCGGCTTTAGGGCCACTTCAAATGTTGCAAAATACTTAAAACAGGAAAACAAGCCTGCAACTGGTATATTCTGTACAGTGGTACCTCAGGTTACATACGCTTCAGGTTATATACGCTTCAGGTTACAGACTCCGCTAACCCAGAAATAGTACCTCAGGTTAAGAACTTTGCTTCAGGATGAGAACAGAAATCGTGCTCTGGCGGCGCAGCAGCAGCAGCAGGCCCCATTAGCTAAAGTGGTGCTTCAGATTAAGAACAGTTTCCGGTTAAGAACAGACCTCTGGAACGAATTAAGTACTTAACCTGAGGTACCACTGTATAGTGATCTCACACTTGGGTTTATTGCTGCTTGTAGATAATGAACAAACATGGGGACCACAGTGTCTCTTCAGTTGGAAAATACATTTATGTATATTTCCTAGATGTTGCCATCTACAGAGGGTGCGTGGTAATGCCTACCTGAGAATTCCCATATAAGAATTTTGCATTATAAAACATCTCTCAGAAGGCAGTGAGAGTTACCTAGTCATCTTTGTGAGGGCTAAACCAGACATGATGCAGGAGGTCTGTGGTGGACTGGGGGGGTGGGGGATACTAATTAGCAGCCTCACACTGTTGCTTTGAAGTTGAGGGAAGGAGCACTGCAGGAGGATTGGTTTAACCACATCCTCACATCCCATTTCCCTGATTCAAATTCCTTTACGCTGAAACTGCTGTTAGCTCTGTAGAGCATGGAGGGAGGGAGACAGGTACCACTTTCTAAAAAGAGCAGCAAATAATTTTAGCCGCATGCCTGGAGCTGAGGCAAACCATTCAGTCTGGTAGCTGTACAAGTGTTGTTTGAATGGGGGGGGGCAGGAATGGTTGAAAACTTTCGCAGCTGTTTCTAGGCTCCTCTGTGTGTACCATCATAGGCTTTCTAAGGTTGTATTTATGGGATTGGTTATGATCTGAGCAGAATCCTCTTAGTCTCTTCAGGTTCCAGGTCTGAATATCTGTGCCTCATCACATAATGAGCATGTGGCTTTAAAGCCATAATCAGGTTGTCTCTTGTCCCCTGAAGCTGTCCACATAAAATATCCTCTGCAGGCCCATCCCAAGACATTTTGCTGCCCAGAGAAAAGAACAGAGTTGTATCCACTCCCATTCTGTGTACAGAAGCTGACAGACTTTGTGTCAATCGAATCTTCCCTTTACAATGGCAGTGGGAGAGCACCCTCTACTGTACCTGAGGGCAGCAGGCTAGTTTAGGGGATGTGGGGCAGGTCATGTGACCCACACAATTCTGCCTTTCACCACTTTTCTGCCTCTGCCCGCCTCATAGCATCATGTGACCTGACTGCTTAATGGTAGGGCCAACCCTATATTCTGTTGCTGCCTTGTACCATCACTGCTATGGCAGCAGAGTTTTAAACATTTTATTTTATTTTATATTGATAAAATGGAAAGAGTCTCTCTGCAAATGGATGGCAACATACTTAAGAAGTTCTTGAGGATAAAAAGCGCATCAGTGATGGATGTTCTGATAGCAAATGAAAAGGTAAAGATCTAGTGCTAGGTAGAATTTTGCTATCCTAATCTTGCCCTTTTTTTTTTGTAGAACTAGATGCCAAGGCAGAGTCATGGCACAAATTATGCCCTGGTGCTCTGGAGCACATAAGTCAGTTACCAAGTACTTTGTTCCATTGTTTTTTTTAGAAACATCCCCCCCTCCACATGGAGGGCAGTCACAGATGTTTATATTTGTTTTGTGGTTATTTTTAAAGCTTTCTTGGCTCTAAAATCCAGATTACAGTATAATTTTGCAAAATTAGTTTTCTGGCAGAAACTGCTAGATTTACTTCACTTTTTATCTCATTGTAGATGATGAACTTGGTTTGTCCACTTCAGATGGCAGAGAAGATGCTGGAAGCATGGAGAAGACAGGTAAAAGATAAAATATCAGTTTGGAACTGCTTTCAGATCAGCATCATCGTCATCACCACCACCATAATTGCAAGGTGTACACCAAAGAAACAAAACCATATTTGGACACACATATATTATACAGGTCCACACACAAAATTTGGCTGCAGCTCCTTGTCAATTGTATACTTGATGACAAACCTGGGTCTGCTGCCACATTATATATAGAACAGCCCTGAGTCAGCCTTCTTTTACTTTTTCTTCCTTGCCGTAAGAACCACAGGCAACTCAAGCTGACAGTGCTTGACTGAAATTGCCATAGATACAGTACAACTTTCAAACATGAATCATATTCAGTACTGGTGGCCTTTGAGCTTGTTAATTTTCTAAGGGTTTGGGAGGCTACAATGTGTTACTCAGCTAGGCACTGTATCTTTCTCTCAAATCTAAAAAAAAGAGAAACATTTAGAGTGCCATTTCTTTCTAACAATTACTAGCCTTTGTTAGATTCAGGTAGGTAGCTGTGTAGGTCTGACGCAGTCGAAATAAATTAAAAAATTAAAAAATGTCCAGTAGCACCTTAGAGACCAACTAAGTTTATTAGTTAAAGTGTAAATTCTCTTTCCCTAACATCCTTAGTATACACGTAGTATACACCCTTCCCCTAGCATCCTTAATAGTTCACCTATGTTTGGGGGCAACATATAGACATGCTGACATTTAATCAATCAATTAAAACCTGGATCATTAATTGTGTATGGGTGTGTCACACCACATGCATCAGTCCACACTCCTGTCTTGTAGCTCTGCTGGAGGCCTTGCAGGAAAAGAATCTAAAGGAATCTCAGAGAAGGCAAATCCAGTGGGACACCTCCACGCCTTCCAGGGGAATGCAGTTGTGGGAATTGTGCTCTTTATACTGATCTTCATCAAGCAGTCCAAAATTTATGCTTCACCATCCCTACAAAGCAAAGCACATACCCTGATGGTGAGGAGGAAACACACCTTTCCCTGGCCATCAGTCCAAATTAAGCAAATTGAACAGATGTAGAATTTCTTAATCCCAAGATAGGAAATAGGCCCTTCATAGTGTAAAATTTAAATACAAAAGATGAAAGAGGCATACTGCGCACCACTCCTCCATCCTTAAATCTATAGTGGGTTAAGATTGACATATCAAGGATGTTTACTTCTATCAGGCTGCCTAATTTAGCATCCAGTTCTTGGCTGTTGTTTTCCCCCCAAGTACAAATGCTTTGAATATTCCTACTTCCCTCACCCCTCCTTGTTCAGGAAACAGGTACCAAAAAGTCTTTGAGAAGGAGCCAGGCTCGTAAAACTTAGGCAACAGATGGGCGGAGGGGAAAGAGAATTGTCAGGAGTGAGGAAAGCAAAAGAGGAAAAGCTTATGGAAAAAACGAAGGAGGAGATGGATACAGACCCAGTAACAAAACAAAGGCAGGGTGAAAGGAGAGTCACAGTTACCAGCGCCAAGAGGAAAGGAGAGCAGGGAAGTTCTGTAGACTGGAAAGTTTACCTTCTCAGTCATTATGCCCAGCCACCACAGGCAGCCTGCTCTTCCAGAGTGCTCAAGCACCTTCATTCCCACCCTTGCTTTTTCCTTGAGAATTGAAGCCATGCAGGATCTGCACAGAAAACCTGTTTCCTGGATCAGTCCTGTCCCACCTACCCACCAGCCCACTTGCTTCTCTCTCTGTTGGAATGTAAGGGCCCAGTTCAGGAAAGAAGCACTTAGGCAGAGCTGCTTTGAGCTTCCTGCAGTTCTGGGTGTTGTCTTTTTGTCTGCAGCGCAGGAAACAGCAGTGTTCTAGTAAACTGTATTTTGTCAAGGCCACTAAGATGGTATTCCCATCTCCAACATTTTAGAAGCATCTTAGAAGAAGCACTATTGCAGCACTTATTTCCAAAGGAAATACTGTACTGGGGCTCACATCCCCCAGAAGCTATTAGAAGCTATGGCATGCGAGCAAGAAATTCTGACCCTTTAGCTGAGATGTGTGATGAAGATTGGCTGTGGTTTCCTCCGTAAAAGAGCAGATTCACTCTTCACATGCTCAGTCGTGGATGCTCTGTATGATTGCTTTATATTTTTCATAGCTGAATGCTGGCACTGAAAACAGTTCTTGGAGCTCAGCTCTTCCTTAAAATAAAACCTGCACTATTGAATTCAGCTAAAAATGCTTGGTTACACACACACACACACACACACACACACACACACACACACACATGCTCCCCTACATCCATTTTAAAAATGATTTTAATGATTTCTAACTAATATGCTTTTATTGTTACTTTATTATATTCATGTAAATCACTATTAAGTGAAGGGAGGAGCACTATATAAGTAAATTATTATAATCATTTTATTTCTTTTTGTACCAAATGTTTCCTTAACAATGGCTTTCTTAATATACAGATCTTAGCTATTTAGCAGCTCTCTCTTTTTAACTTGTGAAGGAGTTTCTGCGGACGGCGCTTTTCAACTAGCTTGCTAATCAATGTTACCTAAAGCAGGGTTATCCAGATGCTGTTAGACTCCACATACTATCAACCGCAGCCAATATGGTGTATAGTATGGGATGGTGGGAGTTTGCTTTCATATTGCTTCCACACTAGCTGTTGTGTGTGCAATTGCAACCAGTAATTAAAGCCTCCTCCTTATGGAAACAGGAACTAACATAAAAGGCAATTTATTGTTAATGCCATGACCACACTAAACAGAAGACAAATTAAAAAGGAGGAGGAAGCTGTTAATTAAAGTTGCAGGAGACTTTTGCTTAATGAACTTAAGGAATATTCATGGTGTGGCAATCGTTGGCATGGATGTGTCACACTTGGGAATGATTTAGGCAGAGATGACGCTTTAGACTGGAGACAATGCTAGGGCATCTTGCAGAGGACGTTAGGGCAAATAATTCGGGGTAGTGCTAAATGCATTTTGGGGTGCAGAGATGTGCAGACTCCTTATTCAGGCTGCTCACATAGCTCTGTGTTATGTAAGGAAATGGGAACCAGGAGTCAACGTCAGCCTCCTGGGGAAGCCTGAAATAACATGAAGCTGACTAAGACATACACAAATGTGGTGGGGGTGGGAGAAAGATTAAAATTCAAAACAAGAGGGAGAAAAACTAGTTTGACTATTGAATCTTCCCATCTATGGTTGCCTAGTGATAAGCCCCATGCTTGCTTCTCTCTTTAGATGAGAAGCTCTGAGCCCTGAGCAATTTTTTAATTTTCTACATGATCTCCTTTACTCTCTTCCCTGTTTTGTGTCTTACCCCCTGTTCCCTTTTCAATATCTCACACAAAAGAAGTAGACCTACTTTTTTGCATGTACCGTTGCTGAGATTTGTGTTCTCCCTGCTCTGCCGTTACTCATTTCATCAAATTTAGGTAATCTAAAACTGACCACACTAATTTAGAGGGTTTCTTATCCTAATGTCCCTTACATCCAAATAATAATGCTTTTCTGCCCTCCTCCTCGTGTGGGCCTTCTATTCTGTATCACAGCCAGGACTCCATTGGGGGCATATGGAGGGGCTGGCATAAGCTCCTGAGCCACAAAAGCACAAGAGTTTAGCTGTGGAAATCCTGTCACTGAAATGGAAGGTGAAACCTCCTTGAAAAACTACCAGACTATTAATGCATGCATTTAGGCAGAGACAGGCACCTTTTCTTTTCATTAGCACCCTAATGAAAAACTCTTGAAGGCTTCATTCAAATAGTGAGTGGGAGCAGACTTGCAGACAATCACGCACTTTTAATGCACACACACAAAAAAATCTCTCTCTCTCTCTCTCTCTCTCTCTCTCTCTCTCTCTCTCTCAGCTATCATTTCTATCCATAATGCACAGACCATACAATAAAAGGAAAATAACGTAGCTTTAAAAGACAAAAATTCACTTGCATATCTTAATTAGCCCTCAAAGGCCATGATAAAAGTTAAGCTTCTAAGACACTGTTTAAAATTAACGAGGAATGAGGTATCTCTGATTTGAAATAAAATTTGTTAAGTGGGGTAGGAGTCACTGCTGAGAAGGCCCTGTAATTCTTAGTAACTGAAGTTTCATCCTCCATTTTCTCCATAGACATTTTGAAAAACATTTCTAAGTGTGTTATAAAAACACCTGCATCTCTCCCGACTGTGCAAAAAGAGCTCAGCAATCCAAGGAGAAGAATGCAGACATGAACGCACAGCTGAACTACAAACTCTGCCTTATAGCTGTTCAAAGCCCCAAATTCCAAAATGCCATTGCATCCTGAAGATTACATGTGTGTAATCTCCAACATGCATGGATGATTTTTTGCCTATCTGCAAACTGCAGACATCATGCAACTGGAGTTTTTCTTGCTTCCTAAGACAAATCTCCTTGCAGAAGAAGGAGCTATAATTGCACACCTTACAAAGCAAACTACAAAGAGGGACTTGTCCCCTGCACTGTAATGCTAATGAAGGCTCTGCCTCTCTCCTTTCTGGTCCCTTCACACTTTGCCCCTTTTGAGCTGTTGCCCACCTGTCAGCTGTTGAGTAAAAACAGCTGTGCAGGGATAAAGAAAGGGTAGCTCCCCACTGAACAGCTGATGGGAAAGAGGGAACTCAGAGGACTGGATGAATTCTTGCCTACAGAGCCAGCCCCCTCCCCTTTGAGTATCAGATGCACTCTTAATTTTCCTGAGACATTTGATTTTTGAAACCAAGTTCCTCCTGCTAATGGGTTCAGTGATAACCCTGAAAACTTGTCCATCCTCTCTTAGCATAGCAGAAATGGAATCAGTTGTTCAGAATGAACATATACAGTACTGTATGTGGAAACCTGTACAAAACCTGTGGATGGGCTGCAGTGCCCACCATCACTGTGCCCACTGGCCATTCTGGCGAGGCTGATGGGAGTTGGGAGTTCACAACATCTGGAGGGCCATGGGTTCCTTATCACTGCTCTAGGTTTATTCTGGTTGCAGAATTGCAGTTATCTTGAGACAGAATTTGGTTACGGTATGAGAGAATGCTGACAGCCAGCCTGCCCAAGAGGGTTGAGTTGCAGCATTGCCTTAGCCAAACCTTCCCATTGCCCCATGCCACACCACCCTTATCAAATAGGAAAAGAATCAGTAAGTCAGCATGATGCAAAGGCATCTCCCCAATTTCCCCAAATGCCCTTTTGCTTATTTAGGGAACCTACGATGGGCACACTCATCCATAAGCGTCCTTGCTGCTGTAGGAAGCTTGCCTGCAACAGATATATACAGTCAACTTGGAGGGACTCACAAGCGCCCTCCAACCACTGCCACTAGAGTTGAGCATCAATGAACTTAAGGCCCAGGTGCAGCATTTTTGGGATAAATTACCAACATCTAACTTCCCTGTAAATTACTGCCAAAGGAGAAATCAAGTCTGCCTTGCAGCTATTGATCTGAATACTATAATCTATTCTTAACACTCTCTTCTCTCTCTCTATAAGGACTCAGAAGAAATTATGTGAATTACTATCAAGGTCTGTGGGATTGTGCTGGTGGCCATCCAGATGAGCTGTCATTCCAGCGAGGAGATTTGATATACATCCTCAGCAAGGTATGTGTAGAGACGGCTTTACCTCCACAGCCTCCAGCCAATGAGTTCTATCCCTCTTAGGAAAAGAAATCAACTTCTCTAACATATAGGGTGCATCTCAAAGCTGTGGGGAGAGAGGTTCAGACTCGCTTTCTCCACATGATCAGTCAAACTGTGATCTAACCTCATTTTTGTGTCTCTGTGATAGTTCTTCAATACTTTCTTGATACCAGTAGCGTGATACCCTGCTTGCACATAATTCCACCATCCCCTTATTAGATTTGCTAAGGCGGAAGTTATCTTGCAGCGTAAGAGATGCTGTGCTGCTATTAGTTTAATTTCTGAGTAGATGTGCACGCCAGTGCAGGAGGGGGAAAGTGCATGGCCTCTGAAAGGCTACAGGAACGCACACATCTTTGCTGTGGCAGGAAGCCTTGCTGGTGTTACCAGGTCTGGTCAGGTCCCAGATCAAATGGGGCAAGGCAATTCAAGAGTTGCAGATGCACCAATAGCTTTGAGTAAGCAACCCACACATACAAAGACTAAAAGCAAACTGAACTTCTTCCCCTGACCTGCCTCTCCCAGGCTCTACTCCCTTGTGGAGAACTAGGGTCCTTAAAGGGTCAATCCTGTGGCCATCCTCATATGCTCCTAGCTTCCTGCCTGTTGTGCTTCCTGCACCATTGCATCAGTTGGGTACTGTGGGAGGCATTGGGCCCCTCTGGCTCTGGCCCTGCAAGCTCTGCCTGGTTCTATGGGTGGTTGTTCTCTAGGCTCTTGTCTGTCAGCCCCGGGCCCAATGGTTCTCTGTTCAGCAGCAGGCTTAGAGCCCTGAACCTGGTCTGGCTCTTTAGGTGATGCACCTGCAGCCTCCAGCTCTGTGTATGGATTGCTGTTGGACTCCAGGTTCATGACAACTTTTTATTTGTAAGTCACTAAATGCTGCTCTGGTTTTGCCAGAAGCGGCTTAGTCATGCTGGCCACATGACCCGGAAAAACTGTCTGTGGACAAACGTCGGCTCCCTCGGCCAGTAAAGCAAGATGAGCACCGCAACCCCAGAGTCGTATCGACTGGACTTAACAGCCAGGGGTCCTTTACCTTTACCTTTGTATTAAGAGAGCCAGTGTGGTGTAGTGGTTAAGAGTGGTAGACTCGTAATCTGGTGAACCGGGTTCGCGTCTCTGCTCCTCCACATGCAGCTGCTGGGTGACCTTGGGCTAGTCACACTTCTCTGAAGTCTCTCAGCCCCACTCACCTCACAGAGTGTTTGTTGTGGGGGAGGAAGGGAAAGGAGATTGTGAGCCGCTTTGAGACTCCTTCGGGTAGTGATAAAGCGGGATATCAAATCGAAACTCTTCTTCTTTACCTTTTTAAATAAACATTACTGAACTGAAGTTGTATAGTGTTGGGGAGTGTGTGGTGAGATTCTTTTATCTGCCATGAGGATTACAGATCAGTAAATTCATTAACGGTGTGATTGGTAGGTGTAGCAGGGATGCTGAGGAAGAAGCTTGTCTTCAAGGGTGCATTCTCAGTTCATGTAGACAAGTAGTGAATTTGCTGATGTGCATGACCATCCTCTTTCAGTGTGCTAAATTCCCCCCACCCAACACAAACCCTCGACAACTTACAGAGGTTCTGTTGCAGACACAAAGGGTTTTCTTGACAGACAAGTCAATCTGGAAAGGTCCCCTGAAGCTGGAAAAATGTGAAAACCACAGATCTAAGTAATCATTCCGCCTCCTTTCTCTTCACCCCGACCTCCCAACGCCATCTCCCTCCCTAGCCCAGAGAGCTGCTTTTGGAAATTCTTCCATCCTTTTATGTTTACTTGCCTCACAGCAAAGTTTGTCTAGAAAATAGCTTGAGCATGTGTGTAATCACTCAAGAATTGCAAGGGTAATTGAGTTGCTTGGTCAGGTGTGATGTAGAGGTGAGGGGAGCAAAGGAAGGAAGGCGGGGAGAGTGTGGGGATGTGAAGTACTTTCTTTGCCACAAATGTGCAAGTGGATACATCGGCTGATTTATAAATGTGCAGATGAATAAATTGGCATAAGCAGTGGTCCAGTGTTAGGCCAAGTGATCCAGAGACACGGGTGTAATCAAAACCAGGCAAGAATCAGGATTTAAGGGAGCAATCAGGGAAAGGGAGCAGGAGCTTAACCAGTCTTTTCATACTAGAGATGAGTTGCTTGGACTAAGGGCTGTAGCTAGGTTTATATGTTCTGGTGGCATTAGATTGGTCAGTAGGGATTAGCTGATCAGATGCTCAGACATGCTGGTGCTCCAGGATAAATGGCATCCTCAGTCTTACATTAGATACAGAGTACTGGTGGTACAGGAGGGTAAGGCACCAGAACTTGGCTTTCTGAAGAGCCCCTTCCAACTGTATGATTCTTTGATTCTAGGCCACAGGGCTTGTTCCTTTGAGAAGCTCTTGTGTGCATTGCAATTAACAGGACATGGACAACAGCATGGTAATGCTCTTGCACATTTCCCTTTTCTTACAATAAAGTTTGTGCAGGATAATTTCCTGGAAGTAATACACACAGTACATTTTAGTTTTATGGCAACTTCAGACACGTTTCTTTGTACCAAATCAACCAAATCTTTTCTGACATGTTTTAAAGGGAGATGCTGGCACGAAAATGTAGCAGGGAACTCTAGCATTACAGGAAAGGCATGCACTTTGGAAATACAAAGCACTTTGGAGCGTGACTGGTTCGGTCGCACCGGGCGCGGAGCCTTAGGGATGCCACAACTGTGATTTGGAAAGCAGTGTGAGGGACAGCAGGGTGCTGAATTTTGGTGTCGCACAGGGCGCCACTGAAATTTGAGACCCCAGAGTCCATCACTGTTTCCCATAGCTCCCAGTTTTCTGAGGGTATTGAGTGGAGATGCTGGGTCTGATTGGCCAGCATAGAAAACATACCACAGATAGAATATTCACATCACCTTGCCTCTTGTTATAACCTACCCTGAGGTCTTGGGACAAAGAGTTGGATGTAAGTATGAAAAATAAATAAACCAAATTATTAAATATTCTCACACAAGCTTTTCCATTCAAATCAGTTCAGACATTCATTTTCATCAAGCAATGAGAAACAAAATGTTTACATAAGTGGTGGGGGATTGGATCCAACTGGTGAATCATATCCTGGCCTCCTCCACCAGCCACTTTGTGGGTGGGTAGGTCATCAGGTCCGTATAGTTAAAGCTATGGTTTTCCCAGTAGTGATGTATGGAAGTGAGAGCTGGACCATAAAGAAGGCTGATTGCAGAAGAATTGATGCCTTTGAATTATGGTGCTGGAGGAGACTCTTGAGAGTCCCATGGACTGCAAAAAGATCAAACCTATCCATTCTTAAGGAAATCAGCCCTGAGTGCTCACTGGAAGGACAGATCCTGAAGCTGAGACTCCAATACTTTGGCCACCTCATGAGAAGAGAAGACTTCCTGGAAAAGACCCTGATGTTGGGAAAGACGGAGGGCACAAGGAGAAGGGGACGACAGAGGACGAGATGGTTGGATAGTGTTCTTGAAGCTACCAGCATGAGTTTGACTAAACTGCGGGAGGCAGTGGAAGACAGAAGTGCCTGGCATGCTCTGGTCCATGGGGTCACGAAGAGTCGGACACGACTAAACGACTAAACAACAACAAGGTCATCAGGTGACAGCTTTGGAGGGGCTTATTGTCCATGCTAGTCTGCTGATTGGCACTATCATCAACCTCCACTTGCCAAGTAGTCATTGGACGTGCATTTTAAGCATCCAGTTGTTCCTTTGCAGTTGTGCCTTTAACTGCTCCATATCTGATGTTATCTTGGGATGCAGGCCAGAAGTTCCCCATTGCTAGTTTCCCTACATCTATGAACCATCCCTAATACACATACGCAATTTAAAACGATTTTCACTACCAAATAAATGTGTTGCAAATTGTATTTGGGGACAGACATTATGATAGGTTTATGTATTGTTTTCAGAACAGAACCAGCCAACACAACCAACACCATGTCCCAGCTAATGTCATGCCAACCTAGAAGACAGTTGACTTGTTAAGTTTGAAATAGAAAAGGGATGAGGAATCAGACTTAGACTGGACAGCCCTTCAAATAGATGGCTGACCTTTGTACAGTAGAACACATGGCCATCCTAATTGAGAGGGTTTTTACTAACATTAATGTCATATACATTTACATACTTAGAACATTATATGTCAAATAATGGTGATAATTCAAGTTTCTTCATTTTCAAGACTATTGCTACCACTTGGTTCTATCCAACTAGACATTATGAACATATAACGGTTTTCCAGTTTTCAGTCATCCATTCAGTTCATAGATGTTCATTCCATTGCCAGTATTTAGCCTGAATAGAGGTGGAGGAGAATTTTGTTTGGTCCACATTTTTAAGCAGACTAATCTAATTCACAGCTCTTGGACTAAGGCATGATTTGGAGCATAGTTGTTCTTTGGATTTCTCACCAAATTTTGCAATACAGTTCTCAACAAACATGCCAATATACATATTTTAGGATAAAATATAAATCAAATGCATATTTAAATACACATTTTGTGATAAAATACATATTTAAATACAAACTCTGCACATGTTTTTTATTTCAGAGATTCACAGATTAATGTAGAAATTGGACAGAAGAGGCTTATGAATGACCACATGGGATATTGACACGGACAATAAATAGAATAATCTGCCCATCCCTATTTGTGCAGTAATTAATATTTGTAATCACTTATTTGAGTCTACCTGGGACTACCCCTTCAAGTTCTTGGCAATTCTATATCCATTTTTTATTAACCATATGTATGCCAGAATGTTACATTTTCTAGAATATACCATTCCCGAATCCTAAAATATTTGTTTGTTAAAGGCCTTCCACATTAATACCGCCAAAAATTAAGATATATCAAACATCTATATGTGAAAGAACATGCATGCAGTTCAATAGTGTCTGACTTATTTCCCTCCCTCCCTCCCTTTGACATGAGACTATGACCTG